TATATATATATATATATATATATATATATATATATATATATATATACGCGCTAGCCCACAACTAACAAAAAATCATTGACAAGCTTGAAGGAGGTGATATCAACATTCAAATGTTCGAAATACGTGACAGGAATAGTAGATTATTCTTTCAAGATCATTGGTTGACCTGTTATTTTTTATCTTTTATGGGTTATCAACCTTTTCTTGGCTAATTATAGTCGAAACATATTTTTGGAGCCTAATAAAATTATTTGTGAATGAATATTGTACTAACTATTTTTGAAAGATAATAATGACTTTCATATAAATGTTCTCTTATTTAACCCATAGATGGGGGGTAGAAGAGGTGGATTTATACCTTTCTAAGCATATTTGCGCCCAAAAAGAACCCTAGCGGTCACCGGCCTAGGTACTTTCAGTAATCGAAAGAGAACCGATGTTTTGACGTGATTTGGCCGTATTCTATTCTTACTGGGAACTGAATTTGTATAATATAAAAATGAATATTAAGCTTCCATTTTAACGTTGTTGTTTTTGTTTTGTCAGGAGCTATGGCGATCAGTCACGCTTTCAAAATACCACAGATACCATAGAAAGACTCTTGAAAGGATATGACATACGACTCAGGCCACAATTCGAAGGTAAGTACCGTTTATTGTTAAAGATTTTATTAGCAGTACAAAATTTAATGACCGCCATGAATAGAAAAAAAATTGTATTTATTACTACTCATGATAATAATTAAAAGGTAAAACTGAAAAACGAGCTAGCTAACCGGTTTCAAACCTCGCTCAAGAGAGATAAACTGAGGTCAATAAATATAGAATTATCAATATAAATAAATATAAATATAGAATTATCAATAAAACGGATGAACAATATGAATGGAAGAAAAATATATTTAAATGGAAATTAATTGGAGGTTCAGTACAAAATCATTCTGTTTGCATAACGAAGGTCGTAAGGACAAAATGTATATGGCCTCAATTTTTTTAAAATTGTAACTCGAGTGGGACTTACTTAAAATGGAAAATGAATCCACACTGAAATTAGCAGAAACAATTGTGTTAATTTATTGGACGATCTGCGATGGAAGACCCGGATGTGTTGGTCATAATGTCTGACAGAGAATACTTAAGTTGTTTTATTCTAACATCCAGCCTTTGAGTCGTTCTCCCTACGTCGTGTGAACCACAACTACATTTAAATGAATAAATCAAACTATTATGAGGTGGAAGAAGAACGTCTTTCTGCAGGAATCAAAGAACATGTCTGACAGAAAAAAAAAACTACACGAGTGTTAGTAACAAAAGTAACAAAGTCGAACTGATTGAATTTTCTGACTTTATATACTAAACCGCGACTTTGAGTCGCTGATGGACCTTATATTGGGTGGGACATTATATATATATATATAAATATATATATATATATATATATATATATATATATATATATATATATATATATATATATATATGGGACATATATATATATATATATGTTCGGCTTATATTAAATCGCTAATTTATTTGTGGACAAGTTGATATTTAAATTGCTAACAAGTATTAAATTTAATTTCTTTCTGAGTTTTTTAAACGTTTAAATTGCTATCAAATGCTAAAATCTGTGTTTATCTAAAGTGCTAGAGCTAAACCATCCCTCTTCTTCCTCGAAAAACCCTACGTACATCTCTTATCTCTTTACTTCCCCCTTTTTTCCTTTTTCCCTATATCATTTCCGTTGAGTTGACCAATTAAATAGGTCAATGTCTGATCCTTACCCACTCCTTTCTCAATATAAAGTATTATAATAAAAAGAAATATAAGAAGAAATTTTAAAACTCCCCTTCCCTCCTTAAACTCGACCATGTCTCTCACACCATTCCTCACCACATTCTATGTAAACTTATATAAACTTAATACTGTCAGTCAAGTGTACATTTTAAATTCATTTTTCGTTTCACGTTTGAAAGTGAAGTCTGAAGATCTAGAGAAAAGTAAAATTCTCTGGTGAAATAAATTATTACAAATGGAGCCTGAAAGTGGTCTGTTTTTCTTTAAAATTATATATATATATATATATATATATATATATATATATATATATGTGTGTTTGTGTGACAAATGTATATAAATATAAATAAATATATACATGTATAATTATTTATATATTATATGCGCGGTACTTATTAGAAAGCGCTCAATATCAGAGATAGAGCTAACATATTTGGTTGGATAGATGTGAGTTTGTGACCCTGGGTTTCACGCTTTAGTGATCGTCAGACAAACACTAAAGCGTGAAGCCCAGCGTCACAAACTCACATCTATCCAACCAAAAATATATATATATATATATATATATATATATATATATATCCAAAGGAGAGAAGAATAAAGATCCACTGTTCGTAGCATTTACTTTAAGAATGTGCACAATACAAAATAGAAAAATAATGTTAAGTATATGGTAAGTAAATAATGATTAAATGATTTTTAAGGAAATTTAAAAACAAATTATTACCTCTGTTTCTGAAAGCTACCCATCTTTAACTTTCGAAAAAGAGGTAATTACTTTGGTTTTAAAAATCATTTAATCATCAATTACTTACAATCGCCTGAAGAAGTACAATCATAGTATTGAAACATGAAAACTTTTGGGTAGCGATTTCAAAATGTTTTTATTATTATCTTTTATAATAACAATAATAATAATATATATATATATATATATATATATTTGGTCTGAAAATTGTACTGACGAGTGAAACTGATAGTGACTATACAGTATTGATACCTATGGCCTCATATATCGAAAGATGAAGAAGAGACTCGAGGCGACGGAGATGTGGTTCTACAGAAGGATGCTAAGGATATCATGGACCGAGTGTGTGAGTAACGATGAGGTCTTAGAGAGTTCGCAAACAAGGAGGAGGTTTATACTTAACATCAGGAAGAGGCAGATGAAATTTCTGGGACACATAATGAGGAAGGAGGGCCTGGAGAATCTGATACTCACGGGTCAAATAGAGGGAAAGAGAGACAAGGGAAAGCAACGCAGGACATACCTGGCGGACTTAAGGAAGTGAATGACAAAACATGGTGTGGGGGGGGATGAAGCAGAAGGAAGAAACTTGTTGAGAGCTGCAAGGGATAGAAAGATGTGGAGAGCCATGATCGCCTATGTCCTGAAAGGACATGGCATATAAAGAGAAGAATTCACGATCGATCAATAGATTTCTTTTGTAACGCTATTATCAACGCACGAAAATAGCAAAATTATTTTCGGTATGATTATAGTAAAAGGATTTTGAAGCTATCTAACGTAAAGATATTTTCAGTTTATATAAAAATATATATATATATATGAAGAAAAATTTGGAAAAACAATATAAAAATCCTTAAATATAATTATGTTTAAAATGAATGAAATGTCGACGTCTGACGTTTGGTTTAATAAACAAACCAGGACAAATTCATTTAAAATACAGTTCAGTTCAATTTGACAAAGACGATGGTTATAAAAAACAAGTCTTATCCAAAACAGATAACTGAAATTTTTAAAATGATCAGCTTTCCGTTTAGCATGGTCACGTTGTCGTCACATGGGCGACGCTTCCAAAAAACGTATTCCTAAAAATTTTTGATTATTTTGAATGAAAAAGAAAATGAAAAGAATTCTATTAGAATCTAAAAATTTTATGTGTATGCTTGTCGAGCATTAATCTCGCTAAAAAAGGGGAAATATTAAAGAAACTAGGTCTAGTATTCACCGTGCGTGAGATGGATATTATACCTGCTTCATAAATCCTCCTGAGATTTTTATTATGAAAATATTTTAATACCTTCACGGATAAGACTTTTTTTTTATAACCATCGTCTTTATCAAATTGAACTGAACTGTATTTTAATGAATATTGTCCTGAAGAAGGTTTATTAAACCGAAACGTCAGACGTCGACATTTCATTCATTTTAAACAACACAATTGCATTTAAGGATTTTTGGTTTGTTTTTTCCAAATTTTTCTTCATTATGTCAAATCTATATCCATTTACATTTGCTTATATATATATATATATATATATATATATATATATATATATATATATATATACAGAAAAGTCATTTTTAATAAATTCAAATTCAGTCTAATACGACTGCAATATTATTTCAAATGCATTTCCATTGTTAAATCATTTTTGCAGCATACCGATAAATATTTTTCCCAAAAAATCCTCTTGATTGTTGAAAAGACACTGCATCCAAAAAAGGTCACTGTTTGGTAAGCATTTTTTGCTAGCGGAATCATTAGACCGTATATCTATCAATTTGAACGTCCATTTTCGTAATAGGCTCCGATAACTTTAACACATTTTGTGATTATTAAACTTTCCATGGATGAAATTGCCAAAGACTTAAATCTGAAAGAAAGAAAAAAAAATCATTAGACGCTTAAAATTAATTCACATTTAAAATCGGCCCAAGTTATTAGAACACCCTTTATCTTCAAAATATAACCATAGTAAAATATTTTCAAAGCATTTGCCCTCATTTACCCCTTTTTTCTGCTTTCATCAGCATAGCTAATGCTAGACTCCTAGAGAGCAACAAACCGAGACATCTTAGCCTCAAGTTTTCAAACTTTTTCTCGTCAGAGTCCATCTTGCATATTTACAAATCTAACATTCGTCCGTGCATTGAATACTGTGGCCATATCTGGTCAGGTCTTCCTGCTGTACATCTGGAGATTCTTGATAAAATCCCCTAAAAGATCTGTAATGTAATCAATCCTAACCAGGCATCTTCAGGCACTTTCTCACCGACATGATGTGGCTTTTTCTCTGTCTGTTCCACAAATATTTTCATGGCAATCGCTTTAACGAAATTTTTCTATTGGTACCTCGAATACATTTAATTTAAGCGTGCTACTAGACTGATATATAAGTCCCACCCGTTTACTGTTGAAATAAGCTAAACGCAATCGCCACTTCTAATCTAACAGTTTTCTTTTCTTAGATATAAGCAGACTGAGCTAGCTAGATAGATAGATAATGTAGAGACTGAGATAGATAGATAGATAGATAGATAGATAGATAGATAGATAGATAGATAGATAGATAGATAAAAAAAAGATTGGGATAGATAGATAGATAATGAATAGGCTAAGATAGATAGATAGATAGATAGATAGATAGATAGATAGATAGATAGATAGATAGATAGATAGATAGATATAGATAGAATGTATAGACTGAGATAGATAGATAGATAGATAGATAGATAGATAGATAATGTATAGACTGAGATAGATAGATAGATAGATAGATAGATAGATAGATAGATAGATAGATAGATAGATAGATAATGTATAGACTGAGATAGATAGATAGATAGATAATATATAGACTGAGATAGATAGATAGATAGATAGATAGATAGATAGATAGATAGATAGATATTTTCAATACACACCTACATTAAAACCATTTCTAATGCATTTCAGTTGTCAACTTATTTAAAGGTAATTCTATAGTAAAATGTTTCAAAGCAAATCTATAGTAAAAAATATTGTTATAGCTTAGCTATAGGAAAATTATTTCAATGCATAACTATAGTAAGATATTCCTAGTGAATATATACAGCATAAGTTTTGTTAATGAAATGCTATAATAAATTCATTTTCATACCATAACTGTAGTAAAATTATTTAAATGCAATACTATACTAAAATATTCTTCAAAGCGTAACTATATTAAAATTGTTTCAATGCACATCTATAGTAAAATCATTTTCAATGCATGTGTATAGTAAAGTTATTTAAATACATATCTATAATAAAATCTTTTTCAATGTATGACAAAAATTATTTCAATAATTATCTATAGTAAAATCATTTTCGAAGCGTATGTATTATACCATTATTTCGATGCAGTTCTATAATGAAATATTCTCAAAGCTTTTCTACGACAAAATTATTTCATTGCAAATTCTATATGATCATTTTGAAAGCATATCTATAGTAAAGTGTAATTTAATGCATTTCTATAGTAAAATCATATCTGAATTATATCTACCATAACATTATTTCAGTCCATTCCTATAATAAATATTCTAATATATATCTATCAATAAATAATTTTCATATTTGATAAAATTTTAATGCATTTCTATAGAAAATTTGTCGGTGAATTTCTATAGATGGAAACATTTGTCAATGCATATCTATAGTAAAATTATTTTCAATGAATATCTATAATAAAATTATTTTCAATGAATATCTATAGTAAAATTATTTTATTGCATTTATGACGTCATCAAGGTTATCAAAGCATAACTATAGTAAAATTATTTCATTGCATTTATGACGTCATAAAGTTTATCAAAGCAATACTATAGTAAAATTATTTCATTGCATTTATGACGTCATAAATGTTATCAAAGCATAAATATAGTAAACTTATTTCATTGCATCTATGAAGTCATAAATGTTATCAAGGCATAACTATAGTAAAATTATTTCATTGCGTTTAGGACGTCATAAAGTTTATCAAAGCATATATATAGTAAGATTATTTCATTGCATTTATGACGTCATAAATGTTATCAAGGCATAACTCTAGTAAAATTATTTCATTGCGTTTAGGACGTCATAAAGTTTATCAAAGCATATATATAATAAAATTATTTCATTGTATTTATGACGTCATAAATGTTATCAAAGCATAACTATAGTAAAATTATTTCGTTGTATTTATGACGTCATAAAGTTTATCAGAGAACATCTATAGTAAAATTATTTCATTGCATATCTATAGTAAAATAAAATATTTCCAAAGCTTGACTATAGTAAACATCTTTCAATGCATTCTATAATAAAATAATCATTCGCAATGCAGTAAGGTTTGTGTTATTTTCTAATAACAGGAAATCCTTCCGTTCCAATTTTCAAAGTATCAAAGCATATCATACAGACTATGAACTGAAATTTCTTCGGATTTTAGATCAATTACCAACTTTACCATTAGCTAAGATGTTAGGCTATTGATTTTAGTTCTATAAACCTGTTTCACCTTGTACCAAATACCACTCAAATGTTGCCTATCCTTCTGCAAAGTGAGTTGTAAAAATCATTTGCCTACTTTAAGCAGGCCTCTTAATATTGTGATTATGTTCTCTTGCCGAAGCAAACAAATACTAACCTATCAATTCTAAATTTATATTTTTAGTAGGCTTGACATAGAAATCAAGAACCTATACTGGCTGCAAATCGCCTTCATACGGATAGAAAATAAATCCAGTGGGTATTTAAAAATAGAAAGGGCTGTAAGACAAGGATGTATCTTCTCAGGATTTATTGAACCTATAGAGTGAGGCGATTCTGAGAGAATTAGAAGTGCTACCAGGCTTCATTATTAGCGGCCACAGTCTTAACAACATTATGCAGATGACACAGCGTTGGTAAAAGACAAGTAAATAACAACAAAATAGAAGTTAAGGAAATTGAAAAAAAAAAAGATTAAACATTAACTTGAAGACAGAATTTTATAAGCAAAAGGATGATCTCCAAAATACAAATTATAAATTAGAGATACCAAAATCAAAGAAGTGAAAGAATTTAAATATCTGGGAAATGTTTTAAGATAAGGTGGAAATGGTGGCGCTGATAACCGAAAGAAATGATCAAAGAATCATTTCAAAAGATAAACAGTATATTGAAAAAGAGCAAAATTGTTCTAATGGCAGTTGTAATATTAGCTGATTGCGTATTAGTAGAAATTGGGATTCATTGACCGTACAGTCAGTACTACTCAGGATTCGCTTGTCTTCACTCCCTGGCAATCTTTCTGGGATCATCTCTTAAGACAATGGTAATATTAGCTGATTGCTTATTAGAATAAATTGGGATTCATTGACCGTACAGTCAGTACTACTCAGGATTCGCTTGTCTTCACTCCCTGGCAATCTTTCTGGGATCATCTCTTAAGACAATGGTAATATTAGCTGATTGCTTATTAGAATAAATTGGGATTCATTTTACTACTCAGGGCTTGATCCCCTGGCAATCTTTTGGGATCATCTTAAGACAATGGTAATATTAGCTGATTGCTTATTAGAATAAATTGGGATTCATTGACCGTACAGTCAGTTACTCAGGATTCGCTTGTCTTCACTCCTGGCAATCTTTCTGGGATCATCTCTTAAGACAATGGTAATATTAGCTGATTGCTTATTAGAATAAATTGGGATTCATTGACCGTACAGTCAGTACTACTCAGGATTCGCTTGTCTTCACTCCTGGCAATCTTTCTGGGATCATCTCTTAAGACAATGGTAATATTAGCTGATTGCTTATTAGAATAAATTGGGATTCATTGACCGTACAGTCAGTACTACTCAGGATTCGCTTGTCTTCACTCCCTGGCAATCTTTCTGGGATCATCTCTTAAGACAATGGTAATATTAGCTGATTGCTTATTAGAATAAATTGGGATTCATTGACCGTACAGTCAGTACTACTCAGGATTCGCTTGTCTTCACTCCCTGGCAATCTTTTCTGGGATCATCTCTTAAGACAATGGTAATATTAGCTGATTGCTTATTAGAATAAATTGGGATTCATTGACCGTACAGTCAGTACTACTCAGGATTCGCTTGTCTTCACTCCCTGGCAATCTTTCTGGGATCATCTCTTAAGACAATGGTAATATTAGCTGATTGCTTATTAGTAGAAATTGGGATTCATTGACCGTACAGTCAGTACTACTCAGGATTCGCTTGTCTTCACTCCCTGGCAATCTTTCTGGGATCATCTCTTAAGACAATGGTAATATTAGCTGATTGCTTATTAGAATAAATTGGGATTCATTGACCGTACAGTCAGTACTACTCAGGATTCGCTTGTCTTCACTCCCTGGCAATCTTTCTGGGATCATCTTAAGACAATGGTAATATTAGCTGATTGCTTATTAGAATAAATTGGGATTCATTGACCGTACAGTCAGTACTACTCAGGATTCGCTTGTCTTCACTCCCTGGCAATCTTTCTGGGATCATCTCTAAGACAATGGTAATATTAGCTGATTGCTTATTAGAATAAATTGGGATTCATTGACCGTACAGTCAGTACTACTCAGGATTCGCTTGTCTTCACTCTCCCTGGCAATCTTTCTGGGATCATCTCTTAAGACAATGGTAATATTAGCTGATTGCTTATTAGAATAAATTGGGATTCATTGACCGTACAGTCAGTACTACTCAGGATTCGCTTGTCTTCACTCCCTGGCAATCTTTCTGGGATCATCTCTTAAGACAATGGTAATATTAGCTGATTGCTTATTAGAATAAATTGGGATTCATTGACCGTACAGTCAGTACTACTCAGGATTCGCTTGTCTTCACTCCCTGGCAATCTTTCTGGGATCATCTCTTAAGACAATGGTAATATTAGCTGATTGCTTATTAGAATAAATTGGGATTCATTGACCGTACAGTCAGTACTACTCAGGATTCGCTTGTCTTCACTCCCTGGCAATCTTTTCTGGGATCATCTCTAAGACAATGGTAATATTGCTCTTATTAGTAGTAGAAATTGGGATTCATTGACCCAGTCAGCAGGATTCGCTTTGTCTTTTCTTTTCTGGGATCATCTCTTAAGACAATGGTAATATTAGCTGATTGCTTATTAGAATAAATTGGGATTCATTGACCGTACAGTCAGTACTACTCAGGATTCGCTTGTCTTCACTCCCTGGCAATCTTTCTGGGATCATCTCTTAAGACAATGGTAATATTAGCTGATTGCTTATTAGAATAAATTGGGATTCATTGACCGTACAGTCAGTACTACTCAGGATTCGCTTGTCTTCACTCCCGGCAATCTTTCTGGGATCATCTCTTAAGACAATGGTAATATTAGCTGATTGCTTATTAGAATAAATTGGGATTCATTGACCGTACAGTCAGTGCTACACGGGATTCGATTTTCTTCACTCCCTGGCAATCTAGCTGGGATCATCAGTCAGTGCTACTCGGGATTCGCTTGTCTTCACACCCTGGCAATCTGGCTGGGATCATCTCTAATGACATTCATTGGCCGAGTAGCCGGTGCTATTGTCGGTGGTGATTTATAAAATATTTTTATTAAAATATTTTTTCAGGAAAATATTCTTCTTAAGTCCACTAAATGTAGTCACTCTTGCCAGTACTGATGGGGATAAATTATGAAGAAACAGAAAAATATTATTAGAAACAACAGTAAGACTACTGGATTATTATGCAATATTAGTATGGCATTGAATGCTGAACAATTCTTCAGAGATGAAGAAGAGACTTGAAGCAACAGAAATGTGGTTTACAGAAAGATGCTGAGAATACTGTTTATTATAAACAGAGCATTTACTTAAATATTTTTATCTATAGAAATAAAGTATAATCAAAACATATATTAAAATAATTGTTGAACGTTGTCTATTTCATAATATATTATTGTTTACGTTAAGATACGCTTCGAGCAGATATGAGCGTTGGTGGAAATCATTTGTTTGTAGTTCTAAAGCAGTAATTTAACCTTGATAACCAGATTCTTCCTCTGTAGCTAAATGGTATAGCACATCAGACTATATAGCGGTTCCTAGTAAGATACAGACATGTTTGATTCATGGCGGGGCATATACTTTGAGATTTCTCGGAC